CTTGCTGCCCAAGATCAAGGACTGCAGTCTTCAATATGGATTGAAGCTCAACATCAAGAAAACAAAGATTCTCACCACTGGGCCAATTGGCAGCATCAGTATGGATGGTGAAGAGATTAAGATAGTTAACAGTTTTAGTTTACTTGGCTCCACAGTCAACATTCTTGGTAACAGCATCCAGGAAATCAGGAGACAAATTGCATTAGGAAAGTCAGCTTTCCTAATGCAATTGAGGGACCTCTCAAGAGTACTGAAGAGCAATGACGTCAGGCTGGAGACTAAGGTGGGCCTGATCCAGGCTATAATCTTTGCAATTACTTGCGATGCATTGGAGAATTGGACAGTGAATAGGGATGATAGGAAGAGAATTGATGCCTTTGAGCTGTGGTGCTGGAGAAGATGGTTGAATATACCATGGACTGCTAGGAGAATAAACAGGTTTGTCCTGGAGAGGGTGAAGCCAGAATGCTCCTTGGAGTCAAGGATTCTGAAGCTTCGTCTGACATACTTTGGGCATATTGCAAGTCCTTGGAGAGGGAGATCATGTTTGGGAGGGTGGAGGGACGGTGCAGGAGAGGAAGACCCTTGATGAGATGGATCGATTCTGCGAGTGGAGTGGTGGGAATGAGTGTGTTTGAGAGGGTGAGATTGGCACAGGATAGAACGGCATTTAGAGCTCTTGTACACAGGGTCACTATGAGTCGCAAGCAACTTGATGGCACATAACAACAACAACAGCAGTTGTAATCCACCAGCCATTGGAGGAAAAGAAGAAGTAGCATTCTGCTTCCATAAACATTTATTGTCATGATAAGTCTATAGGGAAGTAGTGTTACTCTGTCCTTGTGGCCAAGTGGTAAGAAGTTGTGCTGTAATCCCAAAGGCTTGCAATTCAAATCCAGCAGCTGTTGTACAGGCAAAAGATGGACAATCTCCTCCGATGCAATTTACTGCCTCTGAAAACCTTCTGAAGGGTCAGCTAAGAGTCAGTGCTGACTAGATAGCACACAACACAACAACATAGGGTCACTATAAGTGCAAATCAACTTAATAACTTACCAGCAATGAGTTTAGTTGGTTTTAAAACACTACTAAAGCCATTACTTACAAATCTGAAAAACACCCAAATTATTTTGGGCGTTCTTTGGATTTTTATAGACAAATACATGAAAAAGAAATAAGGAATAGATTAAGTTTTGCCAATGAGTCAGGCGGGGTTGGAGAGGAAGTAACAGATGCAATGTTTAATGAGAAAAGTATAGTCCAAATACTTAAGCAAAGAAAGCAAACAACCTTTGGGAAATCTCCCTAAGTATATCAGGCCCTCCATAGAGGACCAAGAAAATCCATATATATATATTAGGAATGTTACTCCTTATACTGTGATTTCTTTTATTTGGCCATAGTTTTGGACCAAGTTCTTGATTATATAGTGACTGTAAGCTGGAGTAATTGGCTTCAGTGCTAAAGACACATAGTCATCTCTGATTCTTTGTCTTTTATCTCACTGAGGCCGTGTTGAAAACAGAATTCATTTTCACTTCCAGCTTTCAACTGACATTGCTGTGCAGCTGTGCAACAGCTGTGAACTTCCACTCCACAAGTAGCAATAATTAAGTGGTTGGAAAAGTGGTATACATTTGGTATGATGTTCAAATGACCTCAGGACCACATAGAATAAATCAAAACATTTAAGTAATAATTTGGATATGCCTACTCTGACTCAATTGCCAAAAATTATTTAATGGTCATTTTTTTTTGAAAAAATTAGTGATCTGTCTCATTGAAGAAGAATAAAACATGGACCAGTCCATCTATTTGGCATTTAAGAAGGGTTTTGGGGTAGAGAAAATGACTTGACTATGTAAACTGAAAAGTCACCTCAGGACTTAAGAGTCTACAGACTGTCTTATAGCCCAAAGAACTGACTCAGAGGTCTTTTTTGAGGCTTTACAGTTGAGCATCAGCTCAGAATGAAGTGTGGTCAATATTATTGAGTAGGTGAACTTGATGGTGTAAACACTGGGAACTATTGATGCTTCCAGGATTCTCTGGGACCATGTTTCCCACCAAGGATGTCGCTCTCTGGAGAAATGGTGCATTGGAATACTGAATTATCTTTTACCTACTTGTTGATGTCATTTTAATACATTTCTTTTGGGGAACAAATAGTCCACTCACGCTGGTTTGGCCTGGGCTTCTTCCCATTTGGGCCCCTGTTAACTTGCAACAATACAATAATAGGATAGGAGAGAAGCAGTTTCTAGACTTCTCTTCCATAATACTGTAGTCCATCTGTTGTACAGGGAATCACTGTCCATGTGGGAATATTTCTGTTCCAGCACTGGTTTCATTAGAGCCATAGGACCCTATGCTCTGGGCAATAATAATTTCAATTTATAGTACCCATGTCTGGGTACTAAGGTCTCTAAGCACCAATATTCATTATTCCAAGATAAAGGTTGGAGGCTATGACCTATAATCTTCGAGAAGCAGCAAAGAGTCAAGATTAATTATTTTTTTCTATATTTTATTAATTTTCATAAACATTTACAGAGATTTTGGGTTTCCATTCATTCATTGTTGCACTATTCTCTCTACCCTCCTCCCAGTTTGTTCTTGTCCAAATGCCACAGTGCTTGTCAAAGCCAGTTCTGATTAATCTTCTTTGTCAGTGTGTCCTTTGCCATTCCCTATCACTCCTCACTGAGAGAGACTTCACCCTGAGTCATAAGGAAAAGGGGATGGCATATTCTCTTAGCTACTTCCTGCTGAAAAGGGATGCTGTGGGTTTCAGGGTGAAGATCTTCTCTCACTACTCTAAAGGGCCCCTTTGGCAGTAGGAAACACATAGACAAGATTAATTATTTTTAATCCCAGAATCTGCTTATCTCTAGCAATATATTGCTTCAGGTAATATCTTGTCATCTTTGTGCATCTCAGTTTCTTTCTTGGCAAAATGGGACTTTTTATACTTTGTTTTCTAGTATGTTTCACTCATGTGCTTTTTTTCCCCTCTCTCCCTCACCCACCAAACTCTTCAGCCGCATGATTTTCCTGCCTCCCCACCCTCACTCCCCCTGCCTCTTTGTTTATCCATATGAATATCACTGGTTATTTATCTGTTTTGAAATAATCGTCTTATAAAGTATTTGCTCTTATGTGCCTGAGTTAGTTCACTCAACATAATGCTCTCTAGTCTCTTCAATATTAAATAGCATTTTTCAAAATCGCTGCTTTTGAGTGTTCCATAGTATTCCATCATGTGAATGTACCACAGTTTCTCAATCCAATCCAGTCATTTGTTGGTGGGCATTTTGGCTGTGTCCATGTTCTTACTATTGTGAATAATGCTGCTATGAACACTGATATACAGATCTCTGTTTATATATCAGTTCTACTTTCCTCGGGGTATATTCCTAGTATAGCTGGGTTATATGGTATCTCTGTGGACTTTAAAGGCAGCACAGCCTAATCTACAGGTTTTTCTGATGAGCAACAGCGTTAAACTATGTGAAACAACTTCGTAACCTATAAAACACAATCACTGAGATGTCAGTTCTGGTACATGGTGATCCCATGTGTATCCAAGTAAAACTTGGCTCCATAGGATTTTCAAGAACTGTGGGGCTTTTTTGGAAGTATATCTCCAGATCATTCTTCAAACCCTTCTCTGGGTGACTCTGTCTCTCCAACCCTTCAGTTAACAGTTGAATGTGTCAACCACTCAGGAACTTACATAATATTGCAGTTGGTAGTTATGTGCTGACAAGTTGTTTCTGACTCAAAGCAATCCCATGTACAACAGAATGAAACCATGTCCAGTCTTGCACCATCTTTACAAGTGTTGCCATGTGTGTAAGGAGCAGTGGTAATGTGGGGATGGCAGAGTCTGACTTCTTTAGACTTCATAAACAGCAACACTTCCCAACAATAACATCCATAGTACCAAATAAGTAGCTACATGGTCAGACATACCAACACCCCTAATGTTCCTATTCCTATGAATCACTGGGTCCAAAGTTCATTACAAATTGGCTCATAGACTTCACTCACAGTTGCAGAGTTTGTTAGGAAAATAGATTGGGGAAGAGAAGGGGAAAAAGATTATCACTTCGTAAAAGTCCAGATTGGGTGAACAGCAACCCCCAAGCCAGACTAACACAAGACATAATTCCTCAATTATTCAGACAGTTTCTCAATCACAAAGTAAAGTATCGATTCAGCTATCAGCACAAATAAACCTCTGGTTTCCTCAATCATCCAGCAAGCTTTGTCTCATAGCAGTCACAGTCATCTCTTGATTCAGTCATCCAGAAGCAAAACCTTTTAACTTTGGCTCCATCTCCAGGGTTCTTTCTATCAGGCTACACCTTTCCACAGTCTTCTCACAGACTGGAAAGTGCTCTCTCTTATATTGGTCTCACAACTCTTAATGACCTGCACAACCATGTGTCCATAGTTGAGGTGGTTGGAGACCATCCCCTCCCCTCTCCCTCCACCAAAAAAATACTAACTCAATGGATAGAAGAGCCATTTTTCAAAGTATTAACACTGCACTGTGTTTGAACCTATTGCTTCAGCCACTGTGTCAGTCCATATAGTTGAATATCTCTTCTTCAAGGAAGACTCTTTTGTTTACCTAGTAAGATGCCCTTCTCTAAGGATTGAACCACAACAACAGCAATATTTCCATAATACAGGAATTCTTGTCATAAAACAACAGGAAAACTAATCAAGTAGTTAAGATGAATAATTCAGAGCCTTTGTTAGCATACTAGGGGATACAAGTGAAATTTAATGATCTCTTAGGCCCAAAGATCCTTCCTGGAGACTTCTCAGCAGTTTGGAAATGTTAGATCAATGTGTATCCTGACTCTGGATGCTCTAATATAATCTGTCTCCATTTTCATAGATCATGTTGGAAGTAGAGGGGGGGAGATCAAGGTGAGGTGTGATGAAGCAGAATGAGATATTGACCTATCATTTTTTTCAACCAGCCTTTCCAAGCAGATGGTTGGTGTGATACTATCAACAACCGGGCCTACTGCAACTATGATGGAGGAGATTGCTGCTCTTCCACGCTCTCCTCCAAGAAGGTGAGTCAGAGAGACCCTTGTGAGGAGGGTGAGGACATAAGGAGGACATAAGGACTCAGGAATAAAGACAGATGCCTGGAACAGCTCGTTTTCATGGTGTGTCATAATTGAATTTTATTCAACAATCAAGACAAGGCAGAATTAAACAAACACAGGCATTTGCAAAGGGATCAGATTAAGCATAATGAACCTTAGATTTATAGAAAAATGCTCTCTAACTGTCAATGCAGTGATTCCTTTGGAGAAGCTCAGCCTCTTTCCTGGCTGCCACAAGATTCACACCTGATAATCACAGTCCATGGAACTTCTCTATAGGCAAGGAAAAGAACAGTCCCCACCTCTTAGGGAAGCAGAATTACCAGTGAGGTGCTAAACACTTGCTAGTCTTCACAATTAAGTTACTAATTCTATGTAGTGCATCTTAAGCATCTTGCAGACACATGTGGAACAGCCTCCACAGCCAGCTGGAGCCTCCTCTGGACCACGTCCTCAGTAGGAGTCCTTTTACCAAAGCCTTTTATCCTTCTTCCACTGCTAAAGCCAATACACTAGAGTTCAGTCTATAAAATCAAATAGGCTGAAATTTTATAATAATATGGATAAAAATCCAAGTCTTCCAAAAACATTTGGAGGTAAATGGCCAATGTGATCAAATAGCAAAATATGCAGAGATTATGCTGATATTGTTTCCTTACTTGTGCTTAAATAAGCACATAATAAAGCCTTCCCTCCTGTGATTCCCTATACTCAGACCACAACTTTTAATCCTAATATGAGGAGCACTCATTGTATGCCAGAAGCCCTTTACACCAGTTATATGATTGACCTCACTTAATGCAAACTACTCAGGGGCTCATCAAATCATTGTAAAATTTGGTCATTTGCTTTAAAAAGAAAAATAAATCCTAAACCAGGGGAAATGAATCAAGAACATTGATTGCAAATTATAAACCATGCCAACTAGATCAGACTATCACTTGGAAAAAGTAACCAATGAAGAAGTCCACCTTTACACAGGAAGGCACAATCACTTAGGAAGAAAATAATCCATTCTCTCCTCATTTCACCTTCTGCAAAAATACTGAATTTCTCTTTAGTGAAGGACCTATGGCCAACATACTCAAGAATCTGGACTGAAAAGGCACATTATCCCTAAATCACATTTTTCTTTGTGTGTGAAAATATACTGGGGAGAATTGACCCAAACTACCCCACCCATTTTTGGACCCACTTGCCCAATTACCAACACTCTTATCTTCAGCACTCTTGGACCATTAATATGTGATGTGCTTTGTTATTTATTTACTTATTTATGTTTACTTTTTATTGTACATTGAGTTAGGGTTCTCACAGCAGATCAGTTTTGCATTCATTCCTATTTACTTTTATCTTATTTCACTGTCAGTGCTCAAAGAATAGGATCTTTGACATTTTTATATCATGTCTTCCAAGCACGCAGTTCTCTGATGCTAATTATGACCACTCAGAAAGTGGTGTTTGTCCTTTGGCACCAGTGCAAATAGGAAAATAGCAAATTGTGCTGAACCATCTAGGGCATGGGAAGGGACCATTACAGAACTGGAATCAAGCCAGCCACAAAGGATGCCATGGGAGAGATGAAACTTTCATAGAACCAAAGTATATTCTAGTATCAAAGGGGGATGAGGGAGAGTTATGATTTTAAAGGTAGTAAAGATGATCCTATTTGTCTCTTAAAATAACAAGAAAATACCAACAAGGAGTCTATGAGCTAGGCTCCAGAGATTTTGGGAAGATAATAACAAAACTAGTAGAAATCAGTGGTGATATATAATAGCAGGAAGAGTAGATAAATATGATAAACTAGATGCCTATTAATCTATTCACAATTTCTTTTCAGCATTTTATTTAAAGTCCTTGGAGTAGGTAGGTATTATAGACCTTGTCACTGTACATATGATGAAAGAGAAGCAAGGGAAGATTTGCATGATGTGGAAGTGAGAGAACTGTTGAATTGCAGGGGCTTTTATATTCTCTAGGACCTAGTGAGGAAATGGAAATCTAGTTGACAAGTATGAGGCTCAGCACAACAATGGATTGTTTCAACTGCACTCTTCTCTTCCTTTAGGTCATTCTATTTGCTGCTAACTGTGACCAGGATGAATGCACTTGCCGAGACCCCAAGGCAGAAGAAAATCAGTAACTGTGGGATCCAGGTCTCCTTTCACTGCCCTGGAGGCAGTTAGAAAGAGAGGTCACCACAGAAGAAAATAAAGGGTGAAGGAAGAAGAAAGGTCCTAAGAGGAGGAAGAAGAGGAGATATTTTTTTGGTGCCAGCTATTGCATCAAGTGGCTCAAGGACAGAAAGATCGTAGGCAAACATTTCTTCCAAGTGATGGTTGATTAAAAATGGAAGGAGAAATATGATAGATATAAAATGACTTTCCACCCTCATTTATATTCTACTCAACCCCATCCTCAACTCTTGTGCTTCTCCCCACTCTTTACCTTGCCAACTATTCAGCCCCACCCAACTTGTAAACCGATACAAAAATACTATATGAGAAGTTGCCAGGAACACTCTGTAACGACCCATTTTTTTAATGGTTTGCCATCTTTCAGGACTTGTCTCCTCTGAACTGGCTCTCTCCCTTTCTTTTCTGTAGTCCCCCTTAATAAATAATAAGGTTAGTTATTAATTCTTTATAAGTATTTAAACATAATTATATAAATATATTATATATATTCTATTTTTTGCTGTCTACTAAGCTGAAAATTATGCAATGTTCCACACTTGCTGCTGTGACGTTCGTGTACAAAATGAATGCTAAGGGTTTGGGAACAGATAGGCATGTGCCATCTTTCTGTTGACAAGATTGCCTGCTGGAGTAGGAAATAGGGAACAAGACAGAGAGATTAGGTGGCGTTCTTAATGTTACCATGTCAGCCGATCATCTTTTTTTATGAACGGGGAGCTAGGGGCTGGGTATGGCAATATTAAAAGGCATAGAATGTATAGCAACATAAGAAACTATTATTCTTGAGTATCCATCCCAAAAGAATATGTTAGGTCCACTCGATTTTACAGAACTCTTAAAGTTGGTAGCACCCAGAATTTTCTCCATCTATATGTGCCTGTTTGCGTTACTTTTTGTTTGTTTGTTTGTGTTACTTTTAGCCAGCCAGCCAGTCAGTCAGCAAGTGTGTATTAGGCTTCATTCTGTGATCACCAGGACCTTAGATCTTCCACATTCCTCATACTTGGCTTGTGTCTACACTCTTTGTTTGAAATCATTAAGCCTTGCCGTCATTCACAACCATATTGCTAATTGTTAATTTTTCTGAGAAGAAATTCAGGAAAATGACCTGGTGAAAGGTGGAACACCTAGAAGTGGGAAGTCAGGTTTAAATGATGGCCCTGGACCAGAGAATAAAATGAGTCGAGAAGACTTAGTTCTTAATCCAATTCTCCAAATGAGAAAGGTGCCATTTGAATCATGTAGAATGCAAGGTAAATTCTATTAAAATGGGATGCGTAAAAAAATCAATGGCCCAGAATATTTACTTGAGTGAGCTGTGGAAACACATGGAGCAAGAGTGACACTTTGTGGGGAGAAAGAAAAATTTCAACTATCGAAGGCCCATTCTGTTTTTGCTCTTCTGTGCTCAATGACAAGATCACATAACTTGCCTCTGTTTACATCTCAGATTCACTATTTTTGCATGTGACCTGTTGAAGTTAGATTGTTTCCATGATGATTTCTGGATTAGGCCTTGAAGAAAAGAGATCTTTTAAAAACATGTCGGTCTAATCAGTGCAGGAAAGGATAAGAAATTTATCCCCCTCAAAGTTTCTTCTCCGGTGGAAATAAAAAAACAGGCATAAAATAGGAGCATAAGAGACCTTGTTCTCTCCAGATTGTCTGGTTTTTGTTCTGGCTACAGTTGATTTTTAAATTATTTCTGTTTTCTTTTAAACCAACACATAGTCATTGCCCTTGAAAATAGGAAGAGAAAATGCTACCTTGAAGCAGACTTCATGGTGGAAGAAAACAATATTCTAGAATGGAAAAATCAAACAGAAT